AGGAGAGGTGCTCCAGCCTTCTGAGCATCTCTGTGGCTCTTGTCTGGACTTGCTTGAGCAAGTCCACGCATCTCTGGTGTTGCAGGCCCCAGAGCTGGACACAGGACTGCAGGTGGTGTCTCTTGAGAGTGGAGCAGAGGAAGAGAATCATCTCCCTTGACCTGCTGGCCACGCTCCTTTTGGTGCAGCCGAGCACACAGTTGGCTTTCTGGACTGCAAGCACATATTGCCAGCTTCTGTTGAGGTTTTAATCAATCAACAACTCAAGTCCTTCTCCTCAGGGCTGCTCTCAATCATTCTCTGCCCAGCCTGTATTTGTGCTTAGGACTGCCCTGATCCAGGTGCAGGACCTTGTACTTGGCCTTCATGAGGTTCACATGGGCCCACTCCTCAAGCCCATCAAGGTCGCTCTGGATGGCATCCCTTCCCTCCAGCACACTGACTGCACCACAGAGTGTGGTGTCATCAGCAAACAACAAGTTTGCACCTCAATCCCACTGTCCATGTCACCATGTTTTGGTTTAACCCCAGCCAGACAGCTTGTTCTTGCCCTCCCCCTACTCCTGGAGGGATGGAGAGGAGAATCGAAAAGAATGCAACTCCCATGGGTTGAGATAAGAACAGTTTAGTAACTAAGGTATAACACAAACCACTACTGCTACCACCAGTAATAATAATGATAAAGGAAATAACAAGGGAAGAGAATATAACACCTCACCACCAGCCGACCAGTAACTTGCCCCCCAGCCCAATCAGGCACCGACTGATACCTCCTCCAACCCTGCAGTCCTAGCCCTTCCAGGTAACTCCCAGTTACATCCTGGGCATGACGTGCTGTGGTATGGAATACCTCTTTGGTCAGTTTGGGTCAGGTGTCCTGTCTCTGCTTCCTCCCGGCTTCCCCTCCTCCCTGGCAGAGCATGAGGCTCACAAAGTCCTTGGCCAGACCAAAACATCATTGTTATCAGCTCTGTTCCCAGCCCAAAAGTCAAAACACAGCACTGCACCAGCTACCAAGAAGGAGAAAAATGACTGCTACTGCTAAACCCAGGACACACCAACAAAGATGTTAAACAGTGCTGGTCCCAATACCCACCCCTGAGGAACAATATTAATCGCTGATCTCCACTTGGACATTCCACCATGGACTGCAACTCTCTTGAGTGTGACCATTTAATTAAAATAACGTTCTAAAAGGATCAGTAAAATAAAATGTACAAACCACAATAATTATACAAAGAGTACCTTGACCCCAGGTGAAGGGGTGTATACAGATTTTAAGCTAAAAGTGAAGTCTCTTTAATACACATATGAAGAAATCTCAAAATAAAAAGTTCTTTAAACAGAAATGTTTTGAAAGTGAAATGCTTTCATGTTAAAAAAAAAAAGGTTTTAATCATTGTCTTAAAAAATCCAGTTCTGTGTCTGCAGAGCTGACTGGAGCTTTGTCCTGTGTATCTCCAAGCAACAGTCTCAAATTATGAATTAATTTACCCTTCTCAACTACAGGAGTCAATCCAGTTGGTGTCTGAACCATATAATGGCTCCCACAAAATACCGCAGGAACTTTTAAAAGGTTTTTCATTACCATCACAGTAGCTAGGTAACTCAGGGGTGGCTCAGACCTAAGATCCTTCAGTTATAAGTAGTCATTTACACATCAGTATCTTCCAATGTAAAACCCTGAAAGAGGCCCACCTTAGAAACACCAGTTTTCTAGAGCTTATGCTACAGACATGCTTTTAAGTCAATGTTTTGAATAGCACTGTGACTTTGAAAACAGCCCTCAACTTCCTTGTAGAGCGATCTAAGCATTTGGCTAGTGACCAAACTGGAGCACGTGAGACAAGGGAGGGTGTCCGTGTAGCATTTCCATTGGAAAGGCAGATGTGGCCTGGCAAAGGTGCCAAACTCCTTGGGAGAGTTCATAGCTGACAGCTCTGGGCAAAAGAAGTCAGCTCTTTCTGAACAGCATTAGGTTAGGGCACAGTGACTTCTCCTGGCATGCTCAGTTTCTGTAAATACTTTTCTCCATGAATTTCCCTGTAGCACAAAGGTTGAACTCAGACCTGTGAACTCCAGTGCAAGACAGAGCACATTGTGGGTCTCATCCTTCATTTTTCTGAGCTCAGATTCCTATCTGCAAAAGTTAGAAGAGTATGGAGACATAATTCGGCACTAAACCTGTAAGAAACTACTATATGCAATTTTGAGATCTTACTCAAAGAAAGAATTCCCCCAAAAGCTGAAAACCTAGAAAATAATAATAAACCCCACCCCTTCAAGTAGATTTGGGGACGTTTCCTTACTGCAATAAATTCATCATGGTTTGGTTCCCAATTCATGCAACAAACAAAGCAGCTCCTAAACCACTTCAATTAATTCAGTCAAAGGCTATGCAGATGTGTACTGATGGATTCAGCCACACACTTTCTACTGCTTTAAAATACGAAGTAATCAATATGAGGAAGCAACAAAATCATGAGGGATCTTTTCCAATGTCATGGTTGAATTAAATTCTACAAACACCACATAATTACATGCTTTTGCAAGAAGGTCATGTTTCAGATGAATTTTGTGAATGAGTAAAGATAAGAACAATCTACTTTGCATATACCAATAATTCAGTTCTTGGCAAAGCTCATATTTGAATTTAATCATAAAATGGAAAAAAACCCTAAACTTCTAAAAAATCAGTAAATCAGTTCTTATGATTTTGCCCTTATGAAGCAGTTCTGGCAAATTTTATCAATAAAACAAAAAGAAAGAAACAATTTCTGAATGGCATGGATGTATTTCTACTCTACACACATAACTTATACAAATATGTGTACTTTATTAATTCCACAAAGTGGAAATTAGACACTGGGCCATATATGCACATATGTTTCCTGAAGTAAGTGTTTGGGGCCAAGCAAAAAGTTCGTTGTGTGTCACTGTTTCTTGAACCCAAAGGGAATGTAAGACTCTCCATGTTTCCTATTGGCTGACAGACAAATCTATCCCAGTCCTCTTGGGTTCTTAATATTCAGATGAAACTGAATCATACATTTTAATAATGTTCTATGTAGGAGCTATGTACAAAGCCTTAGCTTCCTGCCCAAGCTTATCTCTGTTGGCTGGGTGAGAGGTATGGCTTCCACTTCTTATCCCAAGCAAAGGGCAGTTTGCAATCCATGGTACCTTCACAGACTGCATCTTGACAACCTGTCTTCTGATCTAGAAAGTCTTTTTTTGTTGTTATTATAGCTTTTAAATTTACTTGATTGGCTAGAAACCAAGAGCAGCTACTGTCCTTGTTCTCATGGCAGAAGGGCCCGCAAATCTAGCGCTCTCCCAGTTCTTCTAGCTAGCTCTTCCTCCCACCTCCTTCCCATCTGTGGACCCATCCCCTACATGCTACAATGGACATCTTCCCAAGAAGAGTGGAAGGATGGACAGGAGCTTCTGCAAGGTGTGCTGTAGACCTTATACCTGAGAGAGACAGAAGGGTCCAGGAGTTAGCTAGAGGTAACTCTCTTCTCCATCAAGGAAAGGAAAGGGGTGAAGATCCTGAAGGAAGATGAGGCAGACTGTGGAAGGTCTTGGACACTGAGGGTGAGCAGGAAAGAGTGGGAGTTAGTGAGTGAAAAGACTTTGTACTTGCACAGTATCCCAAAACTCCACCGATTCTGTCCATTCTGCTGAGGATTTAAACCCTCAGAATCTCTTGATCCATTTCAGGTCCTACTCCCTAATATTCACCTCCAAGGAGCGGAGATGATACAACCTAGATGTTCCCCTTAAGTCCTTACATCTTTTCACCCCCAAAATCTATGCTGATCCATTCTGCATCTCATTCCATAATGCTCACATCCCTGTTTAATTTGTATTACAGCAGCAAATCTGAAGTGCAGGTCAAGTCCCAGTTTTCTGAGGTTTTCCAGCATTCCTATCCTGTCCTGGTGAGTTAGGAAAATACTTGGGTCTAAATCAGGAAACCGAAGTTACAGTTATTATTGCCAGTTGAATTCTGCCTGCAAAACCAGGAGGAGAAGAGGGAAAAGTTCAAGGTCATATAATGAAAAAAGGGCATGCTTTAAAGAAAAGTAAGAAAACTGTAAGGAGAAAGTAGTCTATGAAGAAGTACCTCTAAAGCTATGTAGCGACAACACTGTCAAAATTTAACTGCCTCTTAAGAAGAGGTCAAGTGCTAGTGTCTAGTACAGGTAGCGCAGGCTGTGCCACAGCTCCAACTTCTCCCTCATCACAGCAAGATCTCACTGTGGCAAAGTGGAACATGGATGAATTCTCCTCAGACCCTTTAGTCTTTGTGGCTTCTGTCGAGTGCAGTCACGATGCCCCATGTTCCCATACTCCGTAGCAATGCCTGCATGCCTGCTAAGAGAGACTGGCAACAGCAGCTACATCGCCCCCGTGGAGACTCCTGAAGGTATATTCTCCACAGTGCACAGCCTGCCTTTCTCTGACAGGAAAGCCCTTCTTCACCCTTCAGACCCAGCACAGGACTCTGCATTTGCTTTTGTTTCTTACACCTCACAATTTGCATGATTTATACTACAAGATCTTATTATTTGTCATGATCCAACTTAGCGATTGAGGCCCATCACAAATGACCTAATTAAAAGACCTAGTTCCAGCTGAAAATTGGCAACAGCACGTAACAAATCACAAGCTATTTCTATTTGGCAGACATAACAACTTTTACCGTTTCCTGTACCGTGTTCAGGCCACCTGAAAGGCACAGCGTGCCTGAACGCAATGTACAAAAAACAATCTGAGACGTTGCGTAGTAGGAAAAAGATGAGCGCACGCGGCCGTGGGGACACAGGGCTGTGACCGGTCAGCCGCGGACTGTGCTCGGCGTCAGCGGGGAGAGTCCGAGCGGGCTCAGCCGGAGGCAGCTGTACCCGCGGGGGCGTCGAGCGATCGCTGCGCTGGTGCGCGGTACCTGCCCTGGGGAGAAGCGAGGGGGCGGCGGGCCTGGGGGAATGGGGGCGTTGAAGGGGCGTGACGACGTCCGCCGTGACGCAACCGGCAGGACCCCTCTTCATTGGTGGGCAGTGAAAGGTATAGCCGCAGGACGGCTCGCGGTTGGCTGCCGCCCTGGGCGTTGGCGGCGCGCCGGACGCTGGCCGAACGAGGGAACTGTGCCTAGCGGCTGTGCTGGGGCTGCCCGGAGCACTCTGAGGTAAGTACGACGCTGCCCCGTCCCCTGGCGCACCGGGCGGCTCCTGCGGCGCTGCCCGGCGCTTCCCGTGGCAGTGGTCGCAGCTCCGGCCCTTCGTGCGGGCAGCGCTGCCGGCAGAGCGGCCGCTCCGCCGTGGCCTCCCGCTGCCGGTGCCGCCCCCTTACCGCGGTTCTACCCCCGCTAGTCCGCCTGCCCTCTTGCTTGCCCCCTTGCCTGCCCGCGCCTTCCTGCCTCTCTTAACGGGGATTTTGTTCCCTTCTGCGGGTCAGTCTCCTGGCGGGAGGCTGGAGGGGCCCCGTGAGACCCCCGGCCGGAGGTTCACGGGGCGAAACACGCTGGCAGTAGCCAGCCCTCTAGTTTAGCTGTCGCTCAAGTAGTAAGTGGAGGCACGAGTTGCCCGTATAAGTATGTTCAGCGCACTCTAGAAATAGGATCATATTCGGTTTGTGTGCTGTAATCAAGCTCATTGCTGTTATTTTTACATTTTACTTTGCTATATTCCTCAGCACTATTGAGTCTCAAAACTAAGCTCAAAGCAGAGCGGAACAGCCCCCATAGCATGGGTGATGAGGAACCAGTGCCATTCATCTCCCTTGGTCAGTTGGGTTGTTGAGGAGGCCAGGGATCACCATCTCTGCAGGATTTGTATTCTAAACTTACTTTCACTTTTACAACGGGATATCAGTATCTTACACAATGGGATATCTGTGGTTAAGCCTGAGCACACAGAGTCATGTGTACACACTTCTGGCCTGCCAGAGGTCACACTGAGTGTTTGTTTACTGCCCTGATTCCCTCTCTCATGCTGTAAGTGCAGGGCAGCTCACGCCCTTTTGAAAGCAGCATTGTTCTTGTAGGACTCTTCTGTGTGAGGGAAATTTTCTCTCCCTGCAGGTTTGGGTATGAGGTACAGTGCAGTGGTAGGAACTGCTCTAATTGTTATTTTCTAGAGTGCAGTAATAATGACGTGTGACAAGCCTTCCTCTGTTTTTGAGAGGTACCAACACAGTCTCTGAGAACCCTCTTAGCGTGCTGAAGAGCAGTGTCATAAAATAACAACTTCAACTTTTGTACAGTAAATTCTGCTGGTAGGAAAATCTCACGATGGTGGGAAGACCACACTTGGAGCAAAAGCAGAGGACTCTGTGCTTCTGTTCATGCCTTCCTTTGTGTGCTAGTTTTTATGTTTAAGCAAGCCTGGAGTTAAATAGGACCTCTTGACGCTTTAGGCATATAGAGGCTTTACAAGACTGGGGCATGAGGGCAAACAGGATTTTCCAAGTGATTCAAATGCAGAGACACATGTAACTATCAGTTAAAACTACTTTGAAAGCACCGTTCACATTTTCAGAGCCTCTATCTTTGAGATCCACATCTTCTAATCGTATAAATATCTCAAGTCCTTAGGCTCCTAGGTATTTGGTGCTGGACTGGTTCATAGGATTCACAGCAGAGCTGAGCAGTGGCATATATGCTTCACTGTGAGCGAAGAAGAGGAGAGAGAAAATAAAGGGGTAATCCTCTGTAGTGAGAATCTGTCCTGATGAAGCCTTTCCACTTTGCACAATATTTTTATTAGGAAAAAACCCTGTAACTCCTGGCCACACATATGCTGACTGCTAAGCAGTAGTTAAGGTCTTGTCCTATTCTTCCATTTTTGGCTCGAGTAAGAATTAGTTATATAAAAATACTTTGCATTAGTCATACATATTGGACTTTTTTAAAATCAAATGCTTGTATTGTTGCCTGTGTTCTACCTTCTTTCTGTGCGTTTGTTACTTCTCACTGATCTCGATGCAAACTTTTGTAAGTAACTGCTTCATCTTTGGATGTTCATGCTGGCAAATGAATTTAATTGGCATTTTTAAGTTTCCAGCTTTCTTTTTAAGCTATATAAGTAAAAACTTGGTACAATGAACATGTTAAAAGCTTTCCCTTACAATAGTACAAATAATTTGTTTCTGTAAGGACACCCCATCAAGCTGAGGTGCAACAAAGTATACTGAAAGTAAATTCACAGAATCAGAGAATCACAGAATGGGTGGAGGTTGGAAGGGACCACTGGAGGTCAGCTAGACCAACCTCCCTGCTCAAGCAGGGAAATTTATATCTCACAAAAGTAGGGTGTAACTAGAGTATAAAATATCTAGTTTGTGTTTTACAGCAGATGTTAAAGGAGGCCAGACCTTTTGAAGAGTGTTTGAAACATACATACATATATATATATGTATATTTTACTACGTTGTCTTTGCTGCCATCAGGCTTTACCATGCTGCGAGCCTTTAGTCACACAAATGGTAGGTGTGCGTTCCATAATGCTAAGTGTTGGCATCGTCATAAGTCTGTGCTGGCAATCAGGAGGGAAGATGTTAATGCCTGGGAAAGAAGAGCACCTCTAGCACCAAAGCATGTTAAGGAATTGACACAGATGGGTTACAAGGTCTTAGTGCAGCCATCAAACCGGAGAGCCATCCATGAAAAGGTAAGGTCCCATTTTGAGTTATGTAAGCAAACCCTTAGTTCAGTTATTAACCATAGCACATGAAAAATTATATTCAAAGGGTATACATGAGAAAATATACTAATTTTGTTGTTACATGAGGAGTCATTGTGGAGAGAAAAAGGAGTAGTTTGTTTAGCCTTTTAATGTAATGTTGGCATACTGGTGGGCTTCTGGAGTTGTTTTTATTGATTTCTTTTCATCTGTCTCTGAAACTTGATAATCCATTTAACATTTGTGTTTATTTCTTCTGTTTGTATGGAGGCAACATTCAAAAAGAATTAATCCTATTTAAAATAAAAAAAAGAGGAAGGATGAATCTGATGAATCCTATTCCCACTTCAGTCCTATTCCTATTCCTCATGTAAAATGAGGAGTTTTGTTTTGGGTTTTTTTCTTTTATGCTGTGAGCCTTGAGACTGAGAGCTTTTACAGTTCCAGTAAGCAGCAGTAGTACTATGCTGTAAGGTATCTGAACCAACAGATAAAAATGGACACATAAGTAGGGAATTAGTGATCACTTACATGTATCACCTTTTAATTAAGGCACAGGGCTGTTATTCACCAAAGCATATATCACTCTGGGTACACAAGTACGATACTGAAAGCTGGAATTTTAATGTGTTTCTGAAACAAGGGATAACGAGTAGATTTTGATATGGAAAAACACTCTTTTGGATGTTGCTCTTCAGCTTGGACTTAATCTTACGCAATTTTATAAAATCACATGCCATCAGTCTTCAGATTAATATGTCAGATTTATCTAAACTTATTTCCACATATTTCAACACATTACAAAGGGTTGTTCATTATCACAGTACTTTATAAAATACTTTAAATGTAGTGAAATACCCTTTTTGTAGTCTGTGTATTTATGATGAAGGATTTTACTAACACATAATTATGTTTTTGCCTTGTATAATAGGATATTAGCACAGAAGTTCAGTTTGGGTATTCAATATCCCTTTTGATAAAGAGGTTTATGGAGTATCACATGTAGTAACTTGCTTCTGCTTTGGAGAATTATTTGCTTTTCCTCTGTTCTAGTTGCTTATGTGCTGAGATCTGAATATGAAAAAACCCAGAAAAATTTACTTTGATTTTTTTCTCTTTCATAGGATTACATCAAAGCAGGTGGCATTATTCAAGAAGATATTTCCGAGGCTTCTCTGATAGTAGGTGTGAAAAGACCTCCAGAGGACAAATTAATCCCTAAAAAGAACTATGCCTTCTTCTCTCACACTATTAAAGCCCAAGAGGCAAACATGCCCCTTTTGGATGAGATTCTAAGACAGGTAAATTGTGTCATAGAGAAGACAATTGCCTGTTAGCATGGGTTGGAAACTGAACTTAATGCTGAAGTATGATCAAAAAGCTTTCTGCCTAGCGTGGTTACTTTCAGCGTGCATATTTGTAGATAGCTAACAAGGACAGTTTTCAGTATCTTTTCCTGAAGTTGAGTATTTCTTGCTCAGAGGATCTTGTGCTTGTGGTGCTACTCTGTTGATGTGTGTGAGGTAGATGCGTTGCAAGCATGGTGTATTCATGAGAGGTTTGTGCTGTGTGAGCATGAAGGCTTATTGGAAAGTTATTAAGCAAGAGTGTGTGTTGGCTGTTACAGAGGGAGGCAACCAGTTCACTCAGAAATGAGCAGCCTCTTGGCAAAAGTCTCCAGCGGCTGGAATGGCACATTGGGAAACTGTGCGAAGAGTGCACAGGCAGTGCAGAGGGTCTTTAAAACAAGAAATCAGTGTAACCTTTAGGTTTTTATTTTTATACCTAAATCCTGTTATGAATCATTTGCCTGCTCATATATGCCCATCAGCCTCCATCACAAAGGATGACAAAGGCGTACCAAAAGGTAATTCCTAGGAGAGCAACGTGCCACTGACTGCATTCACTGAAAATTTTAATACTCAGTTTGCTATGTATTTTCAGGAAATTCGACTGTTTGACTATGAAAAAATGGTTGATCGTAAAGGAATGCGAATAGTGGCCTTTGGAAAGTGGGCTGGTGTAGCAGGTATAGTGCATAAAGTAAAGGCAGGCTTGCAACAAGTAACTTCTTGTAACACTTCTGGTTGTCTACGTTTCCTGAAAGTTGAGGCTTGCAATGCATTTTTAACTGCATTTTTAACTCTTGCTTTCAAGAGCTTTTTTTCATTCTGTTTTGTGCTCCCTAATTTTGATTAGACTACATGTCAGACAGTCTGTGGATTCCTGACAAATCTGCTATTTGATGTTGTCTTGAAGTCCTGTTTGTCTGTTCAACTAATCTGAGGCTGACTAAATATCTAGAGGTGAACTGAATAGGCTTTTGAGAGAAAGGGCTGCTGTCAGTCCTGTGAGTTTGAGCAACATCTGTTTGTCCCTCTCTCATTCATTTATACTGATTTTTGTGAGGCATGGTTCTCATTCCTTTCTACTGAACTCCAACTCTGTTTCTTCAGGAGACTGTCTTTATTATCTCCCTCTTTGGAATCTGGTGTTGTGGATGCATCTCATGAAAGTATATCCGAATATTAAATGGTGCTGAAATGCATAATGTGGGCCAAAAGCAGGTTTAAGGTCATAGTCTGCTATTGAATTTCTCCTTCCTGGTTTTATGTAGACTTTCTTTAGAAGTGAAATATTATTATTAAAATATGGGAAAAAATATCCAGGATGAGTTTAGACTTCAGTCAGTCTCTGCAGTTTCTGACTGTGTGTATTCATAATTAACACTGATAGTCTGATTTTCTGACTTTTTTTTTTTTTTTTTTTTAACTATAGGAATGATCAACATTCTACATGGATTGGGATTACGATTTTTAGCCTTGGGGCATCACACTCCCTTCATGGTAGGATTGTATATGCATGTAGTTTTCTCTAGCAAAATGACACTAGGGCATCTGCACCTGTATTTGAATATGGAAAATATCTTGATTGTTCTATGCATTTGATTTCAGCACATTGGGATGGCACATAACTACAGGAATAGCAGTCAGGCTGTACAGGCAGTACGGGATGCCGGGTATGAAATTTCACTTGGGTTGATGCCAAAGTCAGTTGGACCCTTAACATTTGTCTTTACAGGCACTGGTAATGTTTCTAAGGTAAGAATTCTGTCTTCAAGATTAAGTACTTTATTATTTTTAATATAAATTCTTGGCATTTGATACATACCAGGATAAATGGGTTGATAGGTTCATTTTGTTTGCTTGGACTTCAGGTTTTCCTTTGCCAGTAAGAAGTTTCAAGTACCCTAAACTAATGCCTTTAAGATGAGATCATGCCCGACAAGGGTGACCACACTAATTTTTTACCATGAAAAATGGGTTAAGTCTTACTGCTTCTCTGTCCCACCTGCATGATTTTTATCTCCCTCTCTGCACTTGATTCACTCTGGGCTCAGAAGGTATGTTGAATCACCCCATTAAAGTATAGGGGGAAGAATTATCTTTTCTAATACTTGCTGGGTTTTATCTGTTTTTGTACCACTGACTTGACTTACAGGTTCTGGACTTTAGACATATATTCTACAACATAGGGAAAATGCCTTACTCCTGGTTTTGGCAACAAAGATCAGTTAACTAGGCTCAAGCTATAAGGTCACTGCCAGTGTAACTGTATTTGCTGAGCAAAAGGATGGCGTGTCTGAAGAGCCCGTGTTCTATAATCACAGCTATTGGGAAAGTCATCTCAAAGTTCTTTGCCTTTAGAACAGCCTGGTTAGTGAGGAGTGGCTTCAGGGGTCTTCCCTAAAGAGAAACTGCTCCGCAGAGTGGCAGCAAAACCACCTGTTGTGGCTGTCTTGAGGCCTCCCAGCTCCACCATCAGAAATATAAGCCAGGCTTTGGACTGTGGGCCACACAAACTGCAGTAATGGGGAATGGTGTAAATTCCTTGTACATAGAGCCCAGGCAGCTTTGTTTTGGGTAAGCAGGGCTATGTGTGAAACAGTCTGTACATCTCTGAAGACCTTGTCTGGCAGGACTCTGTTGTGCATGGCATTTTTATATTTGTTTTCACACACAAAATGAGCAGTGTTGCAGTACATTTGTATGCTCTGATCTTTCTGAATCCTACTTTGCGTGTTACAGGGTGCTCAGGAAATGTTCAGTGCCCTCCCATGTGAGTTTGTGGAACCGCATGAGTTAAAGGAAGTTTCCAGATCTGGAGGTACGCTGCAACAATAAAGTTTTTGAAAGCACCGCACCCCTTTTTGTCCAAATATAACAGCTATTTTATTTATTTATTTATTTATTTATTTTTAACCTCAGACCTCAGAAAAGTCTATGGGACAGTGTTAAGTCGTCACCATCATCTTGTGAGGAAACAGGATGGACGATATGATCCTGTAGACTATGAAAAACATCCTGAACTTTACACTTCTCGCTTTAACAGTGATGTAAGCATCTCTTCTTTTATGAAATGTTTTCCACAGATTGTTGGTAGTTACTACACCTTTGCATATCCATTGATGAGAAAGTATTAATTTAAATCACTAGACCAGGTGCTTTCAACTTGAAATACTAGATAAGAGCATCTGGCATCTGTAACTCTCTTTGCAGATTGCACCCTACACAACTTGTTTAATTAATGGCATATACTGGGAGCAACATACTCCTCGCTTGTTAAGTCGACAGGATGCTCAGAAGCTGCTGGTGCCAGTTAAATCTACTTCTGCTGCCATAGAGGGCTGTCCTGAGTTACCACACAAGTAAGACACGTCAGTTCATTTGTAACAATTCTGCAGCATCCTAATTAAGTCAGAATGTTAGGCAGTTTCACTACAGTATCTACTAAGTGATTCTATTTCTTATGTTGTTCCTCTTGCATGTTGCACAGTACCACATTGAACCTGCTTGTGTTCTTCTGTGCTTTGCAGTCTTGTTTTCACAGATTGAAGGTTTTGGAAACATCACAGTATAAATGATTGACAAGTATTGGCTGTCTTTCTGCAAAGGTAGTTCTGCCAATGATCCCTGTGCCAAATCCCATATCTGGGAAACGTACCTAATGCACCATTACTGCTAGAAGTTTCTATGCCTGAGCAGAGTTCATTGTTTAAGTTCTTCCTACCCTGTCATTTGGCTTATACAACTTCATTAACTGTTCCTTCACACCTCTGATTTCTGCAGCTGGTGGTGGAAATGCTTCACAACCTTGAATAGCTTTAAGGATGGAATGTGAGATGCAAATCCAGGGTTAGTTTCCTTTCAGTGGGGGTGGGAGCCACCCTTTTCCTAGTAGTCCTGTGTGTAATACTTCTCTGGGACACTGGCCTAATGATGGATTTGGGGAGGATATGGCAAAGGATATGCTGGTGAGGAAGAGATCTTTGTCTTTTCTCTGTCCACTCTTAACACCTTTCTTTTTTTCTCTCCTATGAAAAAGACTTTAAGTGTTAACCTTGAGTGGAGCAAGAGGTTGTGACTTAGGCTAATGAATACTCCACCTGTGCCAGGTCTCTGTGAACTGAAAGGAGGTAGCCACTTTAGGTTTCCCTTTGTGATGGTGAAGTTATTCTAGTGCAGGACTGCACAGTGATAGCTTGGGGAAATTGGTAGTTGTGTAACAAATGGGAGGTGTTGACAGCACATGGATAACAGAGAAAAAATTATGGATGAGTGGATTGTCCTGGTCTTTGACAAGTTACACATGAAATATGGAATATTTTGACGTGAATGTAAATCTAATGACCTGTCTGGATGTCATTGTTCATATTATGCTGACTTCTAAATTGGTTAAGATGAATGAAACTACAAGTACAATGTATTTTCTGACATTTCTTTTAAATTTCTTTTTCACTTGTGAACTTTTAAACCTATATTTCTTAGTAATTTGGCTAATACCCCATTCCTTTGCCTTTTTTTGTTTAATTGCTGTAGGCTTCTGGCAATATGTGACATTTCAGCAGACACTGGAGGATCTATAGAATTTATGACTGAATGTACAACAATTGACAGTCCATTTTGTATGTATGATGCTGACCAGCATATTATTCATGACAGGTGGGACAGCCTTTAGTTTTTATTGCTTTCCTCTGTAATTTCTACAATGAAACATATTGAAAAATCATGTGTTTAAAGCACTTGTGAAAGGTGATGCCTTTCAGGTACCAAGGCGAAGTAGTTTAGAAGAGCCATGTTCTCTCTTTCAGTGTGGAAGGCTCTGGGATTCTGATGTGTTCCATTGACAATCTGCCAGCTCAGCTTCCTGTAGAAGCAACAGAGTACTTTGGCGATATGCTTTTCCCATATATTGAAGAGATGGTAAGGTCTAATGTATCCATTAAGAAGGTAAAAAGCTCAGACTTTGGTCTGCTTGTTTGTTGCTTTTCTGGTCTCCTGTACGCATTCAAAATAAATCTGCTGTAGAACATAACTGACTTTGTACTAAAAAAAAAAACAAAACACCAAAAATAAGGCTTTCTAAGTCTTGAGCAATACTTTGAAAAAGCAACTTGTGAATGAGACATTAGTGATCTGGATGTCTTAGGAATTTGTCAAGAACACTTTGTGTAGGCAGGAAACAGGCTCTGTCAGGTAGTTCATTGTTCCTTGACTATGCGATAGATGTCTAAATCTGATTTTCTTGAGGCAGTCAACAGTTGCTCACAATCAGACTGCTGTTTGAATTCGTGTATTTTCATAGAAGTTAAATGACACTGATCAGGGCCACAAGAATTTCGGATCTAGAAAATACTGGTATTGTTGACTGCATTTAAATGTTGCTTAAAATCTTGATGTTTTACTCTGAAAAAAGATTTATGGCAAATGAATGACCAGACTTGAAATAACTTTTCTCCATAGCTGTTATCGGAAGGCTCAGAACCTCTTGAGAGACAGAATTACTCAACTGTTGTTCGAGATGTAAGTTTTGCGATTTGTCACTCTGCTTGCCTTCCTCTGCTATAAATCATACAGGTACAAAAAGCCTCAGGTTTTGTTTTTTTGTTTTCTTTTTTTTTTGTTTTCATGTATTTCTAGGCAGTGATTGCTTCCAATGGTTCACTGACAGCTAAATATGAATATATCCAGAAACTGAGGGAGAGCAGGTAATGTACAGTTTCTTAAAGTTTATTTGGTTCAGAATGTTAAAAAAATGTTGTCTGTGTTCTACCTCCCCTTTTGAATTTATTTACACCTGTGTTTTTATGGAATACTGCTATATTACACTATCTAGTGCATATGTCTAAATGTCTCCTAGCTTGGTATTTCCTTCTTTCTTCATGCACATTGCTTAAATCAATTACTAAATTACTAAATTACTAAAGCATATGCTGTTAGTAACTTATATTGAAGTTGAGGAAGTGGTCATTTTTCTTACATTATGAAGACTGGCAGAAAACAGACACATGCCAGTATTATTCTGTTACTCCTTGCCCTTTTAAAATGGATATAATGTGCAATCCTTTGAAAGGAAAAGGCTCTGTCTTTGAATCCTAGTATGGCTCAAGTGCTGTGCTATATAGCATTGTTCTGTGACTGGATGTATCCAGGAACCTCTGTGAGACTTTCAGACTTCATTGTATTCCTGTAGGTAAAGCTTTAGTCAGTGGCATGGTCAGTGCCAGCTGCACTGTGCTTCATGTAAAAGTTGAGATTGATCTGACCACAAGCATTGCATACACTATACACTAAAAGCATAGTGTGTTGACTTTTGCATGACAAATGTCTCCAGTTTCCTTTGGGAACTTTGGGAGTTCTGGTTATGAACTTGTGCACAATAAGTATTCACCCAAAGTAACATGCTGTTTGCTTCTCAAAGACTTCAGCTCACAGTGATTTTTGACAGACCACCTCAAAAGGCTGTCTCAGTAACAACAGTAACAAATTTTCTGAGGAATACCTCACACAGCACAATGACCTGGGTTGTGGGTTTTTTGTTTTCTGGTTGTTTTTTTTTTTTTCTTTCTCCATAATTGCTTGTGTGACCTACCTTGAGAATCTGGAGATGTCATTCCCAAGGGGGTTTTGTCTGTAAGTGTTTGGTACTTCTGCAGGCCTGTGTGTTGCATGTGATGTTCAGTGGTGTTGCTCAGTTAGCTGTCAGAAAAGCAAGGCCTGCTAATGATACCCTCCTTTACTTTGCAGACTTTGGAGATAATGCAAATGAAAGCAAGGATTTCACTGCTTAAGATGTGATGGTTTAGCTAGAGATACGCTTTTGTTTAGAGCTTGCAGGAATCATACTTTTGTTATTACTTTAACAAAGTATTATGCTGTGTCTAATTTAGTTTCTGAGGGCTTTATTTAACCTAATTGCTTATACTCTTTGGAAGTCATGGGATATTTTAGAGATAGGATAGCCAGACTGGAGGAACTGAAGTGTCCTGAATGCCATTAGAATACAGGAGCAGTTTGATTTACTAAACTTATCTCTGTCTTTTCACCTTTACTTGCTTCACACCTTCTACGGGTTCCTCATCCACAGCTGCAGTGACATATCCCATTAACAGTGTGGACCTCTAGGTATTACTATTATTTGTTCATAGATTAACATAACTGAATTATTGAGACTTGTATGTAGAGGATAGGCGTAATATGAAATGTTCTTTTCTGGACTGTGTAGATTCTGTTCCCACTCTTGACGGATCATTTAGCAGCCTGTCCTAGAGCAGACATGGTATGTTTTATTCAAGTCTGACCTCCTTTTAGACACTGGGAAAGTTTTAATAAATATAAGAGGTTTGATTGCAAAGTGTAGATTTCTTTCATAGGGGAAGTATCCTCTTCATCAGCACTGTTGCTCCAAGCTCCTGCATACCATTTCTGCTCCCTATAGTAAAGGGTGGACAGGAATTATTTATTTTCCTTTTCCCACCAGGGTTTAGCTCTTGAAGAAGATGTTCTGTTAAACTCAATAGGAGGAGGAGGAAGGTCCTTAGATTTGCCATATGAAAGGATATGATGGGCTTAAGAGGCTTTCTGTGAATGGATTAAATCATGATTTAACTTCTTTAAAAAAATAATCAAGTTATTGTCTGTAAACAGGATGTCTTAATTAGGCATTAACTTCTATTGACTGTTATGTTTCTGTGATGGACTAATATGTGCTTAGTATAACTCACCTAAAATATACTTTCACCAGCATGGTTTTGTGTACTTTAACAAATACTGGTGGAGTAAAAGGAGCAAGGCAGAGCCTGAATCCCTTTCTGACAGCCCAGGATGACATAGACAGGTTGTGGGTCCTCAAGTGATCAAGTTACATTAATTTGGCCATTCAGAAAAATATTGTGGCAACTGAGGCAAAATCTATTGAACAGCTAGTATCAATTGAAGAAGCAGTAGAGATGTTGATAGATTTGTTCAGGTTTATATTGGAGGAAAAAACCTAGTTCTGCCGCAGAAGAATGGAAGCAGTACTACACAGTCTTGGGTTAGATAGCCAGGAACTTGACTCTTTTGTAGACTTACGAAAACATACTTTGTTAGTTTTAGCAGTTTACAGTTTCCTTCTTTGTGGATTTTAATTTTGCCTGTAACACCTTCTAGAGAATACACTCAGATGCTGAAGATGGATAATAAGAAGAGGGTTTTATTGCTTGGATCTGGCTATGTTTCTGGGCCTGTAATTGAATATCTTAGTCGAGATTCCAATGTTGACATCACAGTTGGTATGTAAGACTTTGCTTGTTTTTCATTGAAAAATTATATCTTATTTAAACCTGCTGGTGTGGCAGAACCTTTCTCAAAAGCAGTAAATGGATCTGGTTCTGAGAACAGATAAAGAAAATCTTTGTTGTTATACACAGCAGAAAAAGATTTTGTAACTTTGTGAGCATTTTGAGTTTATATAACTGACTTGAAAATGACATGGCCACATTGAAATTTTACTGTTTGCATGTGTAACCTATGTAGGGAAATCAGAAGTACTTTTCCTTCTAACCTGATTTGGTCTTGGAATTGATTTTGAGGTAGTCAGTCCCTTTTGTTGGTGCTTGGCTTGTGTTCTCAGCCTCACACAATAAGAATATGAAAATGGACACCTGTATGGGTGAAGCCCCTGTTCTAGTTATAGCCAATACTGTGGTGGTAAACCTTCAGACCCTGACCTCATCAGCCTCACATGCCTGCTTGTTAGTTCCTCTGTTCTGGTTTTATCTATAACATGCTTCAGGCTGGGCATCTCAAAACCACTTTTCCGTACCCTTGACAATGACTTTACCCTGGTTCTGTTTAAAGGTTTAAATCCCAGGCTGTATTGCCTGAAAGTGACTTTGCTGGGAAGTGGTTTCCTTTAAAACTTACTTTTGTATTTCTGTTGATTTGTGGTATTTTTATTGTTGTTGCTTTTTGTTGTTTTGTTATTTTTTCATGTTATTTTCGTGCTTGCCTTCTTTTGCTACCCATTGCAGTAATAACCATTTAACCCCTGGGAAAAGATATACTAGGAAGAGGAGAACTCCAAGGAAGCTGCACCGTTCGCATGGTTCACTGCCTGATGCTGTGAACAAGGAAGGATTACAGCAATGTGCAGTGTCCATCCCCTCATCAGTACAGGAGGCAGCATTAGCCTCTGCAATATAGTAGCAGTAAAGGAAACCAGGTGAATTGGAAAACATGTTTTGCCAAGCACTGAGCAAACAGCAGGTGCCTGTTACCTGCGTATCTTAAAAACATGCAACTTGTATAGCACACACACACACAAAAAACTCAGAAACTCAGAAGAGACACAAGGGTGTTACTTGTCAAATATTTGACAGTAGGTAGGTGGATGAAGAAAGCTTAAAAGGCACACTGTGGTGCCACATTTGGTTCTTAACTCTTAGGCTACACCATTTTAAATCCAAATGGCAAAAGTTTTAATTGGGAAGCATTCATGTAATCAATTTCTTTTTAGGTTGAATTTTTAGGTGATTTTGCCTTTCTCTTTTCTCTCAGCACAAGTTGATTAGTACGGTATGGAGAATCACCCTCTGGCAATGTTTATTTCCATTGACTTTGGAAAGGCCATAAGGAAATAAGGCCCTAAGTTAGAGGCACAGATGCTTTTAATACTCTGTAAGCCTGTTCCCCACCTGCTGCCTTCATTGCCTACTTCTTTCTCCTGGCCATGTTCCCATTGTCATCCTTGTATCACCAGCATGGTTGAGCCAGGACAGGAGAAGGTGTCAGATATGTCAAATACTGGTTGCTTTAACCTGGATCTCTCTTTCAGTTCTGCTTTCCTTTTAATTGTAAGTGCTGATGGCAGTAGGAGCAAGATAATTGGAAGCGACAAATGGAAGCAGGCAGAGACTGGATTTCTTCCTTTTAGGGATAATATTAGCACATGCAGGTTTGGTAGAACTAAGCCATAGGCAAATATTGAAATCAGTCAGATTGAATCTGGGCCTCTTAATGTTTGAGCTAAACAAAAGCTTAATGTTTTTATCTTTGTTATGTTAAAAATGGTGAATGATGTGAATTGTTTTTGTTTTAAGCTATTAAGCTGTTCTTGGTAAAAAATATGAATTCCTTTTAAAATGTCTGAAAACAGTTTTGAAAGATATTTTTTTTTAAACCAGATTTATCTATAAATGTATGGCTATGTGGAATGAGGGATGGGGTAAGTTTTCTGAGCACGTTTGTTTACTAAGTCTGTTAGTTAGTTGTGTTGAACCTGCGTGTCCCTCAAGACCTTAAAATTAGTTAAGGTTTTCCTGTCTCACTTAAAGCAAACACAGCCTGAAAAAAACAAAAAGCATTTTCCTCTTTGGACCTTTTCCCCTCCTGGACTTTAGTCAGCTTCTTGCAATTCAGTGAAGTAGTCAGTGGTTTTGCAGAAATAACTACTACTATCAAAAACTGATTGAATACTCCACCTCAGCATTTATTTGGCCAGTGTAAAGTTACCATTTTTAAAATCAGGAGAAAATATGTACTGCATAGTGACCTAAAATACTTTCAGTCTCAAGATAAATTGTCACACTACTTGAAAATGGTTGTTTTTCAGCAGGTTCTTCACTTCTGAGAGTAAGTATTCTTTGTAGATTCTAGTTGAGTTATAGCGGCTATGACTTGACCCTGGCAATTTATAATGAAGTTTGCTACTTTAAGGGAAGTAAGGTGCTTTATGCCTGATTTCTCTTCAACTGTTAGTGAAGGAAAACATCCATGCAACTGTTTTTCTTAGGGAAGCACAGTTGTACCTGGGAGTGCTTTGTAATTATATAACAGTTGATGTGTTTTACTTTTAAAACAGCATCTGTCATGAAGGAACAACTTGAACAACTGACAGAAAAATATGACAGTATTACTTCAGTTCATATGGATATCATTAAGCATGAGGAAAAGCTGACCTCTTTGGTGAAGAAACACAACCTTGTGATCAGGTCAGAATTGTGTGTAAAATACGACAGGCTCAAACCTCAGTCATGCTGCTTCTTTCTCCTAGTTCAGTGACCTAAATCAGCGTACTAACTTTTTTTAATGCCCAAGAACTGGGATCATAGTTGTGTATGTAAATAGTTGTATCTGGCCACTGCCTTCTCCTGTAGCAGGGCATAGGGACTTTCAAAGGGTTTTGACTGCAGCATCTCTTTAGAAGTGTTCACCAATTACATGGACAGCCTTCTTAGTGTGAGGGACCAGTTGTGTCCACCAGTGTTTGTGTTCCTGGGATCAAATTGGCATGTTTGCAAGAGGAAACAAGATTCTAACATCTTGGCCATTTCTCCACTAAGATCTCTTTTCAGGTATTGAAAGAAGGGAGCAAGTGACTTCACAGTCCTTGTAATTTTGTCCTGTTTGCCACAGATGTTGTGAATGCTGCTGGCTTTCCATGTAGAGCATGCTTTTCACAAAGTACTTCAGAAAGATCATTGTAATGCAAGCTTCATCGAGGATGGATTTACAGCTTGGCATCTTCTGAATCTTCAGCATGCCTTTTTAGAAGGTGGCCTTGAGAATAAATCAGTGGTTTGTTTTTCACAAAGACAAATGTGGCAGAAGATGCTGTCTAAACAATGACTCCCATATTGTCCTGTGCTCTGTTCCAAGTATGTACAACAATGCACTTCTGGTAGGGTAGCATTTCACTTATGCAGATAGGAAACTGCTCAGGGCAAGGCAGGTGGGGATGTTGCATTTACTTGAGCTCTTTTGTAGGCATACAAAAAACATTTGCAAGTGTCTTTCCAGTAACAGCCTAAGTAACTGGTTGGATTTTGATGTTGCATAATTGCTTCTTTTGTAGTTTGCTGCCTTATTCAGCACATCCTTTGGTTGCTAAGAAGTGTATTGAGAGCAAAGTGAACTTGGTAACAGCCAGCTACTTAACACCAGCTATGAAAGAGCTCAGGGAGAGGTAAGTATAAGAGTAGCATCTCCCTGGTGTTACTGTCTCCTTTAGTGCATTATCTGAATATTTTGCAGTCTGTTACACCTGCAATGTTCACTGTGAATTACTGTTTTCTGCATTCTTACTCCTTCCCTTTCTATGATAGAGGACTAAGTTTTTCCCCAAAGTTGCATATGGAGGCTGTGGCAGAGTGGGGAAATGAGTTCACACCCCAGTATGGGCAGGCTAGTACTCTAAAGAGTAGAATGTACTTTCTGTATACCCCATCTTATTCCATGTTACTGTGCCTTCCCCTCTCCCCTCAGACCTGTTAGGATATTTGAGCTGGGCTGATATTCAAATGAGCAAATGGGCTGTCCTGTTCTACCAGTGACAGCAAGCTTGCTTGTCATCCCTCACATTCCCCTAAGCCACATTCCCCTAATCTACACTAATATTTTATTATCTACTCTAACATCCTCCTTCGTGACTCTTTCTTTTGGATAGGCCCACTATATTAGTCTCAAGTTGGTGACAGTTCTAACTATTCTGTTGTTTCTGTTGTCCTACTTATATAATCAGAAGATGTTTGGGGCATGGACTTTCACCTAGGTACTCCTCTCAGTCTCAGTACTGGAAACTAAAATTAATTCAAGTGAGTGAGATGAGACTTGTGCATGCTGTGTCTCTACAAAAGATAAAACAGAGAAAGGTAGACAGGTAGAGAACCAGTGTTGAAGACAGTGAGGAAGATTCTTCTAGCTGTGATGCCAAGAGGTCATATCACACTCTGAAAGGAGAAAAAAAAAAGAAAAAAAGAAATTCTTATTTGTAAAAATACAAAGTGATTTTGAAACTAAAATAAATTGCCTCAGTTTGTGGTGATAAGTGGGTTTCTCTGGGAATGTGGACAACTGCTAAACCCCAAATGCTTGTGATTTGGGAAAGTAGGTCTTTCATCTCTCTTCCCCACAGGAACTGTTTAGGGCAATTATGACTAGTTCTGTGCTGTACTCTTCAGTACTACCTTAGAATCGTAGAATCATAGAATGGTTAGGGCTGGAAAGGACCTTAAGATCATTAAGTTCCAACCCCCCTGCCGTGGGCAGGGACACCTCGCACTAAACCCTATCACCCAAGGCCTCGTCCAACCTGGCCTTGAACACTGCCAGGGATGGAGCATTCACAGCCTCCCCGGGCAACCCATTCCAGTGCCTCACCACCCTAACAGGAAAGAATTTCCTCCTTATATCCAATCCAAACTTCACTTGTTTAAGTTTTAGCCTGTTACCCCTTGTTCTATCACTACAGTCCCTAATGAAGAGTCCTTCCCCAGCACCCCTATAGGCCCCCTTCAGATACTGGAAGGCTGCTATGAGGTCTTCACGCAGCTTTCTCTTCTCCAGGCTGAGCAGCCCCAACTTTCTCAGCCTATTTTCATAGGGGAGGTGCTCCAGTCCCCTGATCATCCTCGTGGCCCTTCTCTGGACTTGTTCCAACAGATCTATGTCCTTTTTATGTTGAGGACACCAGAACTGCACACAATACTCCAAGTGAAGTCTCACAGGAGCAGAGTAAAGGGGCAGGATCACCTCCTTTGACCTGCTGGTCACGCTGCTTTTGATGCAGCCCAGGATATGGGTGGCTTTCTGGGCTGCAAGCACACACTGAAGCCGGCTCATGTTCATTTTCTCATTGACCAACACCCCCGAGTCCTTCTCCGCAGGGCTGCTCTGAATCTCTTCTTTGCCCAACCTGTAGCTGTGCCTGGCATTGCTCCGACCCATGTGTAGGACCTTGCACTTGGCATGGTTAAACTTCATGAGGTTGGCATCAGCCCACCTCACAAGTGTGTCAAGGTCCCTCTGGATGGCATTCCTTCCTTCCGGTGTATAAACCGAACCACACAGCTTGGTGTCATCGTCAGACTTGCTGAGGGTGCACTCAATCCCACTGTCCATGTCAGCGACAAAGATGTTGAACAAGACCAGTCTCAACACCTGAAGGACACCACTCATTACTGGTCTCCAGCCGGACATTGAGCCATTGACCGCAACACTTTGTGTGCGGCCATCCAGCCAGTTCTTTATCCACCGAGTGGTCCATCCATCAAATTGATGTCTCTCCAATTTAGAGACAAGGATGTTGTGTGGGACAGTGTCACATGCTTTGCACAAATCCAGGTAGATGACATCAACTGCTCTACCCCGTCCATCAGTTTTGTAGCCCCATCATAGAAGGCCACCAAATTGGTGAGGCAGGATTTCCCCTTAGTGAAGCCATGCTGGCTGTCACCAAGCACCTCCTTGTTTTTCATGTGCCTTAGCATGCCTTCCAGGAGAATCTGCTCCAAGATTTTGCCAGGCACAGAGGTGAGACTGACTGGTCTGTAATTCCCCGGGTCATCCATTTTCCCCCTCTTGAAAATGGGGGTTATATTTCCCTTTTCCCAGTCATCGGGGACTTCACCTGACTGCCATGATTTTTCAAATATGATGGCCAGCGGCTTAGCAACTTCATTTGCCAGCTCCTTCAGGACCCGCGGATGGATTTCATCAGGACCCATGGACTTGTGCACGTTCAGATTTTTAAGATGGTCTCGAACCAGTTCCTCTCCTATGGTGGGCCCAAGGTCTTCATTCTCACAGTCCCTGCGTCTGCCTTCCAAGACTTGGGTGGTGTGGTCAGAGCCTTTGCCAGTGAAGACCGAGGCAAAGAAGTCATTCAGAACCTCAGCCTTCTCAAAATCCTGTGTAGCTAGTTCTCCCGAGAGCTTCCAGAGGGGGCCTACATTGTCCCTAGCCTGTTTTTTATTTGCAACATACCTGTAGAATCCCTTCCTATTATCCTTAACATCCCTAGCCAAGTTTAATTCTAACTGGGCCTTAGCTTTCCTAACTTGGTCCTTAGCTTCCCGGAGAACATCCCTTTACTTTTCCCAGGCCACCTGTCCTTGCTTCCACTTTTTATAAGCTTCTTTTTTCATTTGAATTTGAATTCATGCATTGTAGCACTGTCCAGGGGAATGTGAGATATGGAGTTTAGTGTGAATAATAAAATAATAGAATGTGAGATAGGAATTTATTTTTCCACCAGCCCCTAGATGTTGCAGCAAAGTAAGAGAAACCAAGGCTAGAATGACTCTTTATCAGTTGTTACTGCTCAGGTTTTAACATCTCCTTCTTTTTTTTTTTTTCCCCACAAACTGCAGATAGAGCCTAGAATTTGCTATGTTGGGGAAAGTTCACTGTGCCTTTATTGGACAGATTTCCTGAATAAAAGTGAATATTCTGACAGATCTGCATTTCTCTTATTTTTAGTGTAGAAGCTGCTGGTATTACAGTTATCAGTGAAATGGGTTTGGATCCTGGTCTTGACCATATGTTGGCAATGGAATGTATCGACAAGGCAAAAGAAGTTGGTGCCACGGTAAGGTTGGCAGGTAGCACATAGTAAACCTGTTCCTTTACCACTTCCTAGGTTTTGGGCATGTCACTGATGTGTAATAGACTCCGGACACCTTGCTTTTTCTCATGCTTGGTATTTGGTGCCAACTAATCCAGTTGGTGAAACCACCACCAATATGGCCTTGCCCCACAATCTGTTCTGATCTCCTCTCCTTTACAGACAGTGGCTGCAGTGTGACAGCTTGATGCCCTTGCACAGTAAACTTTTGGTTCCACTGTAGATCTTCTTACTTAGCCTATGTGGGGTACAGCGTCAACAGAAAATTTAAGAACTGAAAGGGATTCTGCAGGGCAGCTCTGTGCTGTGTGCACCCTAGTCTGTTTTCTCTTCATTGTTTCTTTCATTGTGAATAAATCTGACAGGTTGTGTCCTACACTTCTTTCTGCGGCGGCCTACCAGCTCCAGAGTACTCTGACAATCCTCTGAGATACAAGTTCAGCTGGAGCCCACAAGGAGTTTTGCTGAATACAGTTCAGTCTGCTACATATTTAAAAAATGGAGAGGTGAAGTAATCCTAAAATTTCTATTTAAAGCCAGACAAAGAAAGTGGTATTGTGCTAAGGGGAGAATTGGGATTTGTAAGTTGCTGTGTTTACTTTCAAGCCAGTGATAGTCAGTTGTCAAACTCAGTTGCATGCATAACCAAATCCTATGTTTGAAGTGTGATGGTGCCTGGCAGCTGCCAGCATTGTTCTTACTTACTGTATGGAAGCCGATTACAAAGATCAGTGTGTTCTGATGACTAAAGCACTAAAGCTGGGTTTCTGCATCCAGCTTCCATTCCCGTTGTGTATTGCTTTTGCCACTTAATTTACCTGTCTTTGGCTCTGTGGAACGAAGGTGAAAGTGCATCCTTCTACTTGATTTTCTGTCTAGCCATGTTTGTAATCCAGACAGCCTCATTCTGTACTTGCACAGTGTATGCCAGGACTCTTGATTTCATTGAGTGCGGTCTGTAATACCAGTAACACAATGAGTATTTTTTATGACAGTGTACAGTACTTTCTGATGTGTTTATATAAGCTGTTTTGCTAGTTGTGCAGGAGACATTAGACTAGACTTAACTTAGCAAATGTCACTGTATCTGTTTTATGGGAAGATAAAACTGATTTGTGCAAAGCTATTGCAAGCCACTGCTGCATTTCTGGTTTCCTGTCCTTATCTATTTGACCAATTCCACTTGCTCAAAGTAGTTACTTGAGCAGGGGCTCTTCAGATGTCAAGGAGACTGCCTTTTATAACCACTGTAAGAGTCAGCTAATTATCTAAACTTTTTGATCTGCAAAACGGAGAAATCTTTTGAGATGTTTTGTCATGACTTTTTGGTGCTCTAGTGTTCTTATTGCAGTGAGAAAGTAGAAAATCAGGGATTGTATATTGGATCATTAGTTAAAAAGCAACAACACAAAAGTTTCAGATAAAAGGGTCTCTTGGAGAATGTAAAAATGTTTATTTCTGACCTGGTTCACCTATAGCTAGGAAAAATTAGATCATGCACATGAATGATTCATTATGGTTCATTATGGAAGCAGCATGTGAGCTTGTCAGTAAATTGTGTGCTAAATCCTTAGCTGTCTTTGACTGTTGTACAGGATTCTTCCCCACTAGTGTCTTGCCTGGCAAACACAGTAAGATCTTTTGGCTTTTGCTTTAGTCTTTCTTCTAGGAGGAAACCTTGCCCCTTTGCTCAGAAGTCACAAAATGAGTTTGTATTGATGCTATATAGCAAACGTGCATCAGCTGCTTGAAGGAAGCAAGGGTTCAAGGCTTTGGTTGGGAGTGATAATAGAACTAGTCAATCTTATTTTGTTTTCCTTCAGTGGTGCATTTTCTCTGTGCTTTGTAGCTGCAAGTAAAGATACACATGGACAGCAATTTTATATCAGTGTTCTACCACTGGATTTGTTTTAATCTTTAAAATAAAGAGAAACAAGATCCCTCCTTCTTTATACATTTGCCTTCTCCTCCCCTATAAAAGAATTAAAAATGACTAAAAGCAGGAAGCCTATGGGCAGAATCTCCCTTCACATTGGTGTAGTTTATGAAAGGAACTTGACACTTTAATATAAGAGCAGCAGGAATTAACAGCATGTGTGAGAAAGATGTGTCTTGTTTTAGCCCTTTGATTAGCAATGGCTGACATAGTGCATGCTCCTCCATCACATGATATATTTCAATGGCTTGTGCAACTGCTTTATTTAGATTGGGCCTTTGTTTGCACATGAAATTCTAAGCATATAGTAGCTATTTTGAACATACTTAATCTCTTCTGTTGTAAAATAAATAACACAGCACCGAAATAATATTGCTGTTCTTTCACAAAATTTAGATTGTAAATATTCCGGCTGGAGGAGCAGTACTTGATTCTGTTACTCCGATGGATTTCTTCCCAGGATTAAATCTGGAAGGTTTTCCAAACAGAGACAGCACAAAATATGCTGAGCCGTATGGTATTCAGACAGCTCACACTTTGTTGAGAGGCACCTTAAGATACAAAGTAAGTTGTTATTATTATTCATTATTATTTTCCTCAAGAGGTGAATGTTATAATTTAAAGAAAACTGTATTTAAAAGTCAGCCTTTTATAGCTCTGTACTTTCTATTCATAAGCTCTCCGCTATCCCAACTGAGATAACTGAAAGGACTACTCTTGTTGTTTTGAAAGCAGGTTTACTTAACAGCTGTCTATTGCAAACCAGAAAAATAGTTTTACTTGTTTTGGGCAGCTGGTCAGTTCGTTTGCATAGTCTGTGCCTGTGTTTCTTTTTCTCTCTGGCTCTATATGTGGTGTCAAATCAATAGAAGATTTAAAAACAATTAAATAAATCCGAAGGGGTTGTGTGATGGGGGTTGCTGTTACATGTTTTTAAGAATTGATCCATTCTTTTAAAGATTATAAGAAATGGAGCTTACAATTTGTTGCCTATGTTTCTATGAAAAACATAATGTAAAGATCTTACAGGAAATGATGTTTTTTCATCAAACTGAGAATGTTCTTCATTAAATAACTGTAAATCTTGAATTTGAGCAGCTTTAACTCTTCAGTCAGTTAAGTAAAGTGTTTAATGTGTTTTCCTTCTAACTGATAGACTCTATTCCTTTTGTTTGTTAGGAGTTAGATTTCTTTTTTAATTTTTTGCTGGTCAGTATAACTTAAGAAGGAGTAAACCTAAAACCATATTGAAGATTTTAAAAAAGTTTTTATGAATGTCATGATATGCCTATTGAGTTAAGGTTTATGTCAAGTATAAGTTGTTATTTTGCACATGGCTTGAGAAGTGTGTATGTCCTTTCACTCTGAATTCCTTTATTGCAATACAGCAGGATTTTTCTTCATTTCTGGGAATGAGGGAGGTTGGGATACATGCTTAGCAAAGGAAAATGGAAGGCCATTGTGTGGGAATAAGGGTTACAAACTGTATCAGCTCTCCCTTTATCAGTCTAGATATGGTATCTTTTTCAGAAGCTAAAAATATGTCGAAGGCATCTATCTAGTCATGGAATCTTACTGTGACTACGTCTGTCATTTGGGGGGCTGGTAAAATGTTCTTTTGTGTAAGCATTATCACAGGGAAAAGCAAAATGTCAGGGTAGCACGAAGAGTTGTTACCAGCGTGCTGTAAGAATGTTTTTGTGGCTAGTGTTGTTTTCTTGTGTTGTTTTCTTTATCCCCAGAGCAGGCTCATCACTTTGGGATGGTGTGATGTTGGTAGGGTTGTGTGGAAGAGCTTGCCATACCCTCTACCTGCTTGGCATCTGAATACCAGAACATAGTGCTGAGCAGGGCAGAAGTTAATGTTGACCCCTTCTTTGCACATGCTGCTGTGCTGCAGAGCAGAAAGCAGTCAATTAAATGTGGAGGCTAGCATCTCCTCAGAGTGTCTTTCATAAATTAATTTCAGCTAGCTAATGAGGTCAGTTTAAAAAGAGATATCACAGAAGGATATCTAAAAGCCATCTAAACTGATAACCTAGTGCTGGTGGAGGTGGCTCCTAATTATAATTAGCTCTCTTTCAGGCTGCTTTATTTCAACCATTCTGCTTTTTTTACAGTGTTTCACTTTCGTGGAAGTGTTTTCAGGTATTCAGCAGCTGTGTGGGGGTGTTAATGGGGTGCAAACGAAAAGAAGCAGAAACCAGTTGAGACTTCTTTTATCGTGCACATTAAAATTCTTTTTTGGCTGCCTATTGCAGCCATTATAGTTCCTTTTAAATACCATTCCACTGGTGGCCTGTCTCTCTGATGTTCCTGAAGGAAAGATACAAACGCAGAGGATTCTTATCTTTCAAATCAGTCTACCTGATGTCCATATAATCACACTGGTATAAAGCCAGGGTGACCAGAGTTCAGCACTGGGGTCTCTGTATTCCGTTGTTTGTTTGTGGGCCAGCTGGCTGATATAACCCTGCGTGTAATGATGTGCTGGTTTGAACTAGCCCTTTGATCTCTTGCACCAATGCTACTTGCCATGGAGGTATTGATGGCAGAAGAAGTCATTAAAGAGGGTATTGAAAAAGTAGGGAGAAGGGTAGAGAGGGTGTGGGGAAGGTACCACTCTGAAGCAGTAGCCCCACTAGCATCCTGTTAATTGTGGCTATCTTCCTGTGGGAATAATGTTAACACTACCATGGTTGCGTCCACTGCTGCATTCAAAACAAGTAGAAATACTTGCCTCAGTTTCAAGTGAATATTAGTTTTAACCATATTATTCTTTTATTTCAGGGATACTCCAAAACTATGGGAGGCTTTGTAAAACTAGGATTAATTAGCCCAGATCCGTATCCAACCACTCCACCTCTAACCTGGGTGAGTTACTCTGATTGCTCTGCCTTCTTTCCTCTGTTTTACTAATGATTTTGCTATTTCTAGACTTGGGTGTGCTTAGAATTGGGAACCATGTATTGCATCCTGGTCATCTCTGGTTTTTGTTTCTGGAAATCAGGAAGGTTTTCTTCAGCAGGAATATAATACGGTGCTGGAACAAGTTTCCCAGGGAGACTCTGGAGTCTGTGACACTGGAGATTTTCAAGACTTGGCTAGGCAAAGCCCTGGCTGACTTGAGTGCTGATGGTATTGCTTTTTCTGCCTTGCTTGTTGATGCTTCACTTCATCTTAAAAATCTCAGCTAAAGTATGGCTCGTGTGATGTATTGCTGTTATATTTGACAATCAACATTTTGTTTGTCTTTGTGGACAAAGCAGAGAATTCCATATTTCAGTATGGTGTAAAGAGAACTGAACTAACAGCTTATTACTTGTCAGGTCTGCTTGCCTATCTTGTAAGAAATTTCTCTTTCCTTTTGCAAACCTCTGAGAGAGTAACTACTACTCAGATGAACAAAATTCAGCTGTTTCCTGTTTCCTTCCTTGTGTTTTTATCAGCATTAAGCTGGAAAAAGACACCAGGCTTGTGCTGTGTGGTGGTCTGAGGAGAGCAGAGAATTTTTCTGATGATGTCATTAGTTCAAGTTAAGAATGTCTTGAGTGTCCTCAAAACTGAGAAAGCACAAGGTGAAGAGGCCTAGTCTGGCTTGTCTCTGACTAATTTACAGCACTGCTCATCTACTTATATGGGAATTGCTTCTTTTTCTTCTATTTTTTTTTTCCCACTTTAAATTTTAGGGTTGATATGTTCAAGTTTTCTTTGTAGAGATGGCTAGAATTTCCAGTCCTTGTAACCTCAAGGAATAAGTATGCAGTGGCATGTAACCTTTGAAAATAACGATAAACTTACTAGTCTCACTCCAAACCTTGTCTCAGCAATATGGTTATATATCAGTGCTTTCCTTCTGCCAACTCTGTGTGGGAAGCAGAGGAGATAGGATAGCCTGAGCTTCTAAACAGACTCTGCAGTTCTTTCTTGCTTCATATATTGTTCATAGCTTCATTTATTATTCATGTTACTGTGAATGAAGCAAGTAATAATTAGCATCTAGATAGCACAAAATGGCCTTCAGATATGCACAAAAGTCTTCAGAAAACTTTTGGTAATATTCCCAGGACTGACAGAGCCTTGTTAATCTCATCAGTTTGTTTCCTTCCTTTTGAAAGGGATATTCTCCATTTCTAGACCAGCTGAAAGATATCCTTGAGTCCCCTACTCTCTGGCTGTCTCCAGGTGGCTTCCCTTTCACCCTAACATCCTCCCAGTGTTCCTTGTTTATGCAGATTTCTGTCCTTCACTGCCGGAGGAAGGGCTAAGTCTAAAAAGTAGGGGGAAGCAGCTGAGTGTTGGGGAACAAAGTGTTTTAGGGAAAGATGAGCCTTATTCTCATTTGTTGTGATCAAAAAAAATCTCAAACTATCACGCTTTCCCTGTACACATAACTTGTCTCAGAAGTCCTAGATATTAAGTGAGCTTAATGGAGGAGTGTTCTTGAAACCTTGACTGAAAAAGAGTGGAAATGGATGTCAGGCCTTCAAGAACTTTTTTTTTTTTTTTTTATATTTTAATACAGAAAGAGCTCATGTGCAAACTGGTTGGAATTAAGCAGCCTGTTGATTATGATGTTCTTAAGGAAGCTGTATTTAGCAAACTGGAAAAGGATCAAAGTCAGCTGGAGGCAGTGGAATGGTAAATGTTCCAGTGATTTTTAAAGTTTGTTGGGCCTTGCAATTCTAGCCATTTTGTTCCATATTGAGACTGTTAAACTGCTACAAGCTGGAAATTACAAAACTGAGACTACTGTTGGTAGGCAATGATACAAGCCTGTCTCATTTCTTCTGCCAGGCTAGGTTTACTGGGAGATGAACCGGTTCCGGCAGCAGATTCCATTGTGGGGGCTCTTGCAAAGCACATGGAGATAAAGCTGCCCTTTGGTATGTGAAGAATTTTTTTTCAAGGCTTTGAGTGGAAGAAGCCAGCCTCTCTTATCAGCCTTAACTGGAGTAGTTTGTTCACCTTCATTAATAAATCTTCATGTTAGGTTTCAGATGTTTTGTGATAGAGCACTGGAACAGGTTGCCCAGGGGGGTTGTGGAGTCTCCCACATTGGAGATATTCAAGGCCCGCCTGGACAAGTTCCTGTGTGATGTACTCTAGGTTACCCTGCTCTTGCAGGGGGGTTGGGCCAGATGATCTCTTGAGGTCCCTTCCAACCCTTGGGATTCTGTGATTCTCTAGTCCCCCAATTTATCTTTTTCTTTCCCTGATATATTTTTAATTTCATCTTAAGATTCTGTTCTCCCTAATAGTCTGTATCGTAAGTCACTTCCCTGATACACATGCCGTGTATCTGTAGTGCCTTGCTCATCAGGAATCTCATCTTGATATGACTGAAATACAAGTAATTAATAGTTTGTGTGGTTTTCTCTTAGGCACTGGAGAGAGAGATATGATTGTTATGAGAAATGAAATAGGTCTCAAGCATCCTTCTGGTCATTTGGAGAAAAAGTTTATTGATCTGGTTGTCTATGGTGACAGCAAGGGGTATTCTGCGATGGCTAAATCAGTAGGATACCCCACGGCTATTGCTGCTAAGATGGTTCTAGATGGTAAGTGGCTGTTCAGACTTCAGTAACAGTATTTCAACCCCCTGTATCTTTCTGCCTGTAGAAAGCAAATGTATGGTGTTTCGCAAATGTGTATATATGTATATTTTTAAAATTTATGAAACTTTTTTTGTCTTCTTTACAGGAATTTTTAATCTGCATGTTTGTTTCGGTGACAACTCTTAATTTACTGCTTAATCTATAGATGATGTAGTCTTTAAATGTTTCACTGGTGTAGAGGAGACCTTTGGCAGAGCAAATTACAATTGATCGTGCCACAGTGAAATAGGATAACATATACCTGTGCTGATCAAACTAGTGACTTCCACTACTGCTTTCTGGATTGATGAAATTTGAGGCTTGGGGAATATTACCTGATCATATTGTGTATAGATAAACAGACAAACTCTGCCTAGTCATCATGCTGTCTAAGGAAATCCTGTGATTTCCCCTTGTTTGCTCTTAATCTTTATAACATAATTCTTCTGGCTAACTGAAATGAGCAAAAACTTTGTTGTGTAATTTTTGTTTGTTTGGTTTTTTTGTTATTTAAAAACCCAAAACCCCAAACTTTTGAAGTTTAGGTGCTTTTCACTTAACTGCAGTTTCACACAGCTCTATGAATTAGATACAAGCTGTGTATTCTTCTGTGTTTCAAACACTTTTTTCCCTATTCTTTGATAATGTACTGATGCTGTGTGAGAAAACAGTACTAGGATTGATATATCTGCATATATACATATGAAAAAATACAAAAATGAAAATTTATTTAGCTGCAAATTGATACTTTCATTTGTGGTGTGTTGACCAGGGCTGGCTGCCAAATGCCACCCAGCTGCTGTCTCACTCCTCCTCCTCAACAGGACAAGGGGAGGAAACAAGATGAAAAACCTTATGGGTTGAGATAAAGACAGGGAGATCACTTTCCAGTTAACTGTCACAGGCAAAACAGGCTCAACTTGGGAAAAAAAAAAAGCTTAATTTGTTGCCGGTTAAAATAGGTATGAAAAAAAGACATAATAGACAAAACATCACCTTCCTCTCCACCTGGTTTTCCCAGGCTGAAATTCACTTCTCCTTTCCTGACTCCTTAGCCTCTTCCCTCTGCCCCAGGTAGCACAGGGGGATGTGGAATGGGGCCTGTAGTCAGTCCATAACAGCTCCTGTCTGCTGCTGCTTCTACCTCATGCTTTTTCCTTGCTTCCAGTATCATCTTCTCTGCAGGCTGCAGGGGAATCTTTGCTCTGGCACCTGGAGCACCTCCTTCTCATCCTCCTTCTCCAGCCTTGCTGTCTGCAGGGCCATTCCCACACTTTTTTAGCTCTACTTACACCTTTGTGGCATTTCTTCTGGCCTTTTTAAAACACATTTTCACCACCACCTTGGCCAAGGGTCTCAGCTGTGCCCTGCAGTGGATTGGTTGGAGCTGTCTGGAATGGCCTCACAGAGGCTGCCCCACAGCCTCCCTGTTACCGAAACCTTGCTGAATAATCCCAGTAGAGTACTTAACACTTTCTTTCCCTACCTTTATTTCAGGTGAAATAGATGCCAAAGGCATGGTTATACCATTGACGAAGAATGTCTATGGACCGATACTTGAACGTGTTCAGGCAGAAGGCATTGTGTACAGTACTCACAGCATTGTCAAACATTAACAAGGGAAGCAGTGGATTGGATCGGGTTTTGGCTTTGTTTGGTTTCCCTCCCACCTTTTAACAATCTCGATTTGAACCAGCTAAAGGCAGCCCCTGCCATTGCACACAGATGACGCCTTCCATAAATCCAGCTGCCTGACTCTGACTGCAGATAACCAGATGCATGAATTGTGGCATTTTCCTCTTAAAACTGCTGTGTTTTCATGTACATGTTTTAACATCAATCAGATCTTTCCTTATATCTTTCCTGAAATATCTCAGGAGAAAGAGATGAAAGCCATACTTAAATTCTAAGTCTCGTCCCTTTCTCTTTAACAGTATTTGTGAATATTTTCATGATAACAATATGCAAAAAATAGTTTAGGAATTCTGCAGTAGTAGCAAACAGGATCCTGTTAAATCTGGAAAATATTCAGTCATTAAATATTTGAAATCTAGGTCATAATATTCTTTAAATCCTGCTCTTATGAATGTAAACTTAAATTACATGGAGGAGGAAGTTTAAGGCAAGCCTCCTTCCATACCCTTTCCCATTACAGAGTTGAATCTGGTTGCAATATGTCGAAATACCTGCTGTTACATGTTGCCTTGTGCCATGCAGAGAACACATTAGCATTTAGTCCTGCAGCTTAGAAGGGCATTCTGAAATACACACAGTTAATGTGCTTAGAAGCTGCTGCAAATGACGTTTACTCTTTCCGCTTACGCTGTATGCTCTGTTCAGGTTAATTATGGTTACAAAGAGAATACTTGTGTAGTTATAAGCAGCTTTGAAATACAGTAGACTTAGGGGTTGAAATCGCTACTTTTTGAGTTAGCTTCTGTTGTTTTGTCATCAGACTATTGAAGTGTTTATTTGGGAGCCTATCCGTACTGCTCAGTACAGTGCCACTTTAGGCTGATGAGAGTTTGCCAGTGTGTCACCTTGTGTGGTGCTGCCCAGAGGTGCCAACCTCGTAGAACCAGGGGCAGTTTAGCTGTGTCAGCCCAGAACTGAACTTCAACCTGAGTGCAGCTTCTCTCCAACAAAACAGCCTCCAGCCAGTTCAGGGCTGCTTCTGTGGGTTTTGCTCAGGGATTTCTAGACCGCTTGGCAATGCAAGAATGGCATAGACTTCACTGCCTCTGTCTGTGAGGTGTCATGCTATGGGCAGATACCATTTGCACTGGTACCTGTGCAGCTGCCAGGAGCTCCCCTTTTCTAAAGCTGAACACTGATACTGGAATCTGTCTGCTTTCGGGTTTGCTCACAAGCGCACTTTGCTGATAAACGCACAGACTTTTATCTCCTGAGAAGCATGGTGCTGTTACCATGGTTCTGAGGGGCTGGAACTCCAAACAACGTTCTGCCCATTAGGAAAAGCGTCCATAAAAATAGCTGAAGTTTTGCTCTCTTAAGTCTTGTTACTCAGGATTGGATTTTCTTTGTGTAGATGTAATGAAGTAGCAACTGCAACAGAGTGAAAGGAGCCAAAGGGAGAAGGAAGAATGAAGAGGAGGGATTTTTATGCTTAACAACTGTATGCTTTTATACTGTCAAATTTGGATTCTGTTACAGTGCCAAGCATGTTCTGATGAAATCCTGGGTCCACTAAGTTGCTTTGCTCCAAACTGACCTTAGAGGCTGGGGTCTGTTGTATGGCTGATGCCTGCAGTTGGGGTAAGGATGGAGCAGGCACCAAGTACTCCACTCCCTGCTGCCTCCTCCTGCCCCTGGTAGATTAAAGGCCTACAACTAAGGGTTAAAAAGCGTACAACTAAAGGTTAAAAATAGACTTGTATCTGCCGGTGCCTTCCAGTCCAGTGCTTGGTGAGACCAGGAATTCACTGAAGACTTTTCTGTTCCCTCCTTTGCCCCCAAAATGCACAGCCATGGTGTTGTGACTCTATATATGCATCTACCTTGCTTGCTTTTCTGCCTGGGAAATGCAGTATGCAAAGAAAATTAGAAAGCTTTACAGGTATGTAATGTCTTTGGAGCACAAAAAGGAGAACCACTACAGAATACTTTCTTCAAAAAACCACTGCTATTTTTGAAACGTTTTGTACTGGATTGTGTTCTTGTTTCCCAGTGCAGTGCTGCTTTTGTTTTCTAAGTTTAATTTTAAATGAATTTATTGCTCAGCTTCTTGTATGAAATTTCTCAGTTATCTTTGCATATTATTCAAAGAAAATTGTATCTTACAGATTGCTTGAAAAATAAATCTGAAATCCTGTTTTATTGTCATGTCATCTTTACAGTCTAATGAGATGTATACGAATGGGGTTTGGAATTTTACATAGATGGTTATATTGAAAAAGGTGTCTACAAATGGGCTTCTCTGTGTGCATGAAGTGCCTTTCATACTTCTCACTGGAATCACCAGAGAAGACCCTTCAAGGCTTGTTTTAAGCACCCACATTGACTACTCATCTATATGTTTAAATATATCTCTATCTAGACATCCTCTTCAGCTATAATCTTGAGATGTGGGCTTTTTAGTACATGTTCTGTGCTTGGACACGAGGATAGCTACAGAATTGGAAAGCTACAGAACAGTAGATGGGGTCCCCAACATAAGAAGGTCATGGACCTGTTAGAATTCAAAGTCCAGAGACCATGGGATTGCTTAGGGTACTGGAGCACCTCTCTTATGAAGACAGGCTGAGAGAGTTGGGTTTGTTCAGCCTGCAGAAGAGAAGGTAGCCTTCCAGTATGTAAAGGACCTTACAAGAAAGCTGGAGAGGGACTTTTTACAAGGACATGTAATGACAAGACAAGGGGGAATGGCTTTAAACTGATGGAGGGGAGATTTACATTAGACGTTACGAAAAAGTTCTTCACTGTGTGACACTGGCACAGGTTGCCCAGAGAAGCTGTGGCTTCCCCATCCCTAAAATTGTTCAAGGCCAAGCTGGATGGGGCTTTGAGCAACCTGGTCTGGTGGAAGGTATGGGCTGGAACTGTGGCAGGAGGGCTGGAACTAGATGATCTTTAAGGTCCCTTCCAACCCAAGCCATTCTATGATTTTATAATCATATCTCCCTGTGCCCCTGGAAGAGATGAAATCTTGGTGTCTCACTTGCCCATTTCAGCCTGAGTTATCCCAGGATATCATGACAAACTGTGCAGGTAAAACATTGTGATGGAATGTTGCTAACTTGTTTGGTCAATGGATTTCCAAAGTCTATACTAAGGTCTTTAAGTAGTATCCTGCTGTACTGATAGCTGTCAGTTCATATGACTGCTGTTCATCATTTATTGCTGACTTTTGTAAAGCTTTCCGTAGGTGTTAAAACGGCACCACCACAATCACCGACAAGTTGGTGATGTTAATAGATTACTTTTCTTTTTTTAACTCTACTTACCTATGATTTCTTAGCAGGAATCTCACTAACCAAGTTTTCCTTGGCACACATGATTTACAGCTTTGTAAAAATATATAAGAATCTTAAACTGATGTTGTTTATTAATATCCCACTTCTTGCAGGAGATACATAACATCTTTCCCACACTTGACCCAGTTTGGAAAGGCAGGCTATGTGTCCTCTGAGTCTGTAGTTTGGATTACAAGAAAAAAAATTAATTAGAATATGGCCTTTGTCTGCGAGAGGAACTGACACGCATTTATTAAAATCTGTAATCCATCATGGTTAAAGATTATAGAAGATTTTTTTTATGATTCTTATTTTTTTCTAAATCAGAACCAATATGTGTGAGTAAAGAGATTATCCTAAGCACTTATGTTTTAAATAACTTAGCATGCTGACAAGATGATGAATGTGATTACAAACATCTCTGGGAGAAACCTTGAGTGCCAGCTGATTCCTTGGATTAAATGTCTGCAAAACATTTAGGTTGAAAGGAACAGTTATATCAAGATGGGATTTTAGGAAGGATCTTTTTGGTTTTGGTCCACAGAGGCTTGGAAAACATCACAGAATTAACTGGCCTAAAAAAGACTTTGTGTATACAACTCTATGAAACTCCAAATACATTAATAAAAGATGCCAATATAAAAAGCATGAAATCATGTGAGGCTACAAGCCAGTTATCTTAAATAAAAGGCAGAAATAGCACATGAGCATGAGTTTCTCTTGCTATGTACTGAAGAGCAGAAGTCTATCCTAAGATTATGATATATGGTTTGAAATGAACATAAGATCACAACCTGTTGCATAAGGCACCCCTAGAGATTAGGAGAGGAAAAATTGTTTCTGTGTTTTTGGAAGGAGAAGGGGGAATTACATATTGTCGCTTTGTTTGCTAGCCTCAGTGTGCAAATGGAGGGTGTTGGCCAACCCAAGTGCTTACAGGAAGTGGTGAGGAAGCCCCAGGCCACCTAGAAAAAGATAAACCCTTCCTCAAAGAGGAACTATTACACACCTTTGTACACACCAACTTGGTGCCTGAAAGCTGTGAAGAATGTGTATGTGTAATTCAACAGCCGTACAGCAACATGTATCATTCAGGAAAATGAGCCTGTTCTGTACGTTTGTAACTCCCACTGCCCCCAAACCAACACAAATACATTAAGCAAAAAACTCTAGGTCTTATTCTTCAAAGGCGTTTAACTTAGCTAGGGATACAGTGTAAGTTCACTTGCACTTAGCTGTACCTCAGTCCCCTTCTAGAACTGGTCTGTGATGGGAGAATTGCCCTCCATTCGGCACTGATGAACAGGGAAAGGGAAGCCCCAGGGCCTCAAGTCCAATGGATTCAACCATTTCATAACCTCTGGGACTGCACTGCTGGAGTTATGAAGAGGAGTGGTCAAGTGTAAAAGGGAATTCAAGCACATTTACATGTTAATAAGTTTTACAAAACTAACTATACATTACATTGTTTTAATTTTTTTGTCTATATGATTATTTTTGCTTAAAGAAGAATAGAGCAGGAAAAGGTCAGCTGTACTTTCTAGCTATTCTGTCATTCCTGCCATTCATAATGTATCAACATTATGAGGACTTTTTGAAGTTTCTACTGTTTAGATTCCTCTAACCCCAAATTTGTTTTGTCTTTGTCTCAGTTCCACTTATCCTCAGTTCTACATTGCTGAAGGGTTCTAGATCTATCTGCTGACGCAGATTCTTCATACACGCTTGCCTTAGGAATCAGTTGATTAAAATCTCCAAGTCTGCTTCAAGTCTTGTCTTCCCCTACCCTTAGTTTTTATCTAAGATATTGTCCATTAGTTTCTGTGGTGGTCTCGTCCAGAGCAGTATCTCTTCTATCAGTATTTCTACATAGCAACTGAATATATCGAAGTGAGAAAACAGTTACTCCAGGGCTGTGTTAAAACAAAGCTCTACTCTGCTCCAGGCTCCTACCCTCCTCAGTGCTGCAACATTTAGTACAATCAGCATCTTTTCTCTCCAGCTCAGAAGGTTAAAGAAAAAAATTGAGTAACCAAGCTGAAACATTCTACTTTTGCTCTTGCAGAGACTACCTGCTTAATTACTTGCCAGAGTTTGGCTTTTGCTTTGCCAAAGGAGGCAGCAAGGAGCTCAGCACCTAAATGGAGG